GTTTTAGAATTAAATAATCACTCCATGGTTTTTCTTTTGCGAATTTTTTCGTTTTCTGTGGCTTTCTCAAGGTGATAAGTTCACATAGTGGCATTTAAGAAAGCTTGGATGCCTAAAAGTTCACCATCTCAATAAAACCAAGATTCTCAAAGCTTCAGTATTGTTTCTACTCTACACCAAGTATTACGAAATCGCATGCCATGCAAATCAACGTTTTTCTTCGACGTAAAACATCGTGAATCTGTGCGATTGAAAAGAATTCTATTAACGTAAAATCACACTGCTTTCTCTTCTTCTCTATGTCACGGTTTTTACGCTATGCGATGCTAACGATGTATTTGAAAGCGAAATAGTAGCAAAATCGATGTTACAGCGTGGCTAGAGGCATTTCAGGGACACATTAGCGGTGCTGCTAATCTCGTTGCCCTCAGCTACCGTAATCCTCAGACGGGTTTTTTTCGCTTCTCTCACTCGATGCCTATCTTCAGTGTGGGGATGCATGGCCACGTGCTTCAGTATCGCAGCGCGTAAATTGCCGCAAATAGTGCTGAAATGAGGGAAATGTCAGATTTTTCACATCAAAAGTGTCACATTAGGGATAATAAGGGTAATTGCTCAACAATTTTGGAGAACTGATTCAAATTTTTACACAAAAACTTCTTATAATGTCGCTGCTTGTTACTATCGAAACGTACGGCTGATATTTTCGTGTAATGTACTGCTCCTGCGGTTGACAACGACATCTACGCGGAAACGAACAGTGCTTGCGAGTTGCGCTTACAAATTGGCTATAGAGCGGACATTGTTTATGCGCAAATGTTGGCAACCCAGGAATATCATAACAATTGTCAATAATGCTATGGTTATAGTAGCATCTTTAAAAGCAAAGAGGATCATGAAGTAAAGGCTGCTGCATGACGAAGGCCGAGAAGCAGCATGAGTTGAGCGGGCGCGCGCGTATCCTCACCGTTGAAATCCTGCGCTTTATGCGCTTTGCGGCTAAAATTAAGCCGCGATCGCGCCCAAAAGTATTGCACCTTCGTCATGCAACAGCCTTTAGAAATTGTTGTGGTGATATGTACATTTGCCCAGCACATCGGTGAAACGTAAGGATTACATCAGAAGTGGAAGTCTGCCACTTCGACAAGGTTTTCCTACAAAGAGAATACTTTCTTTGACAGATATAAATCTCATAACTAGAAATCCTGGATTTTCGATAAATTAGTGCCGCTAATATCTATTATGATGAGTGTAGCTTTTGAAGTGAGGTTATCGTTAGCTTTGTGCCTAACTTGTTCCTCTAAAGTATTGTACTTGGAAACAGAGTTTTGCACATGCTAAGTGAATGTTTTTTGCTACGAAAATATAGGTACCAAATACCTGGGGTAGTTGTTGTTATAAAGTAAATCTGGAAACTCCAATTTTACTGAACCCTGTTGTTAGACTTATGACAGATAAAAACTCTTACTCAACGTATTACTGCTTGCCTGTTTAATTATGGGTAACTATAGAACAGAAATTTATCTGCGGAATTGAAAACCCAAATTTTATAAAGTCACTCAGGCAGTTGAATTTCTTTTTTGATTTCATCTTTATTTTCATTCACCTGTTGATCCATTCTGTCGAGAACGTTCGCAACAATAATAAATTTATTCAACTGCAGCTACTTGGGAGGTGGGACAGACAGAGAGGAAGCCTTTTTGGGATTTTCTTTCTTTGTTGGATGATTACTGATTCCATTTTTGCTCATAAATGAATGGTTACTATGTATGTATGAACTCAAAGATATGGAGGTATGCTAAAAACCTTCGCGCCCTTAGACGCAATGTCTTTAGAATGCTTTGGTGATTTTTTGGAAGCATGAGGTTATCTGTTTTAGTAAAAAATTCTACATGGTCGGAGTTGATAAGGCGCGAGTATTTTTGTTCAGATTACTTAGCGTACCCCGGATTGTAGATCAAGTAAATCAAGCAACCAATAGTTAGTAATGTGCCATGATTCCACACGAGTAAAAGGAATTAGGAAAAAACAAAAAAAAAACAGGAAATACCATTCAACATATATTCACCCCAGAAATCGTATGCGTGCCGTAGCCTTTGCAGCGCATCTAGAGCTTAGCTGTGATTTTCTTATCAGATACGTTCGCAACGCGCATCGAACACGCACTCACACGCTTCACATGCTGTCATTCAATCAACTACGAGTGTCGGACGTCGAAAGAGAGACAGCGACTGGGAGATTGTGCCGCTATCGGGTGCCGAACATGCTCTCATGTGTACGTACAAAAAACACTTGCAGCTGGCGTGCACCAGTTGAAATGTATGGCTGCACGCGTTTTGGCTACTTTTAGCCACGCTTTTTTTAGTTCGAAACAGGGACTTCAGCTAGCGTCAATGTTAAGCTGAGTTCGTCCCCATTTTTGATGTTTTTTTTGCAGTAGAAGGTACTTGTAATAATGTGAGAGCTGTATTCATTTGGCAGTACAACAAAGACAAAGAAATAAAGGAAAGAAACGGCATAAAGAGATGAGAGAGCAGTAGGTCCGACATTTCAAACGCAAATTGCACATACAATTTGAAAGAAAAACCGTGGTTCATATTCGTGGAGAATAAAGGCAGGAATGCGTTACTATCACTTTGTTGCCAGATAGTTGTGCCGACACAGACAATGCGCAAGATTTGGATGGGCAGCGGCGCGCTACCACCTGTCCATTACGTTGCAACTCAAAGGCATCGACGCCGCTGCGCCGCCGCAAAGCAGCGTGTATGCGTGTCTGCGCTTCCTTTCAGATGTCGATAGTCTAGGTTAATGAAAGCTTTTAACACGAATTGCTCTGCGTTCCATTTTTTGTTGTCAGCTTTACTAATGTGAGCTTGATGGTCCTCTATGCACGTGAAGAAAAACTTGAATTTTTTAGACCGCTCTACAGAGACTATCTTTGCAAAGAACAATTTACGACTACCCGTCAAATGACGAGTATAAAAATAGCTCGAACGATGAGTTATCACCACTACGTGCGTATTGCTAGTGTAGTTTTTTTTGTAGTCAAACAAAGAAATTTGCACTATCACACGATTTGTAGCCGCTTGATCTGAAAAATTCTACCGCATTGCGGTAATAATTGTATTTTTGCTAAGTGTACTTTTGGTGAAGTTTTCTCACTTTTAGCCTTTTCCTTTTCTTTTTCGCCATTAGCGCAGAGTTCAAAAGTCACAACTTTTCCATGTTTTTGTTTCGGCATAGCGAGCCTCAGTGATTCAGAGGCAGCACAATTTTCGAGTGTCGGCAACCAGCTGTAGCAAGATTTTTCATCACAACGAAAACACCTCTCCTGAATAGGTTTCTTTCACATCAGCCGAGAGTTGCTGTTCTGACTGATCTGTCACATGAATCATAACGAGCCGCCACTTCGCGGATGCCTGTTCCAGTCCACGCTCGTGTAAGTGTGCAATGCGTTATCGAGAGCAGAGACGCAGAATTGTCTTTGTATCTCTACTTCTAGCTTTCCCAATACTCGATAGTTAGTGAATAGTAGGCTAGGAGAGGTCTAGAATTGCAAAGTGTTCGTTGGAAAAGCGCGAAGAGACGAGGAAGCGGCGGCGGGGGTTTCTGGAGGAATGAGGGAGGGTGGAGAAAGGAGGGGGCGCGCTCATGAATGGAAGTAAGTTTACGATTCGTACACAGGATGAATTTTCGGATACGGTCATTTTATTCATGCGAGTAGACAAAAGGTTTGACTTTCACATTGTATGGGAGTTTTAGTTTGTTGAATATGCTGCTAATTATTGCTCATCATACTGTGGACGTAATTAAAAGTGCTAGATTGCATCCGAGCGCTTCAAGACCACCGCGCGGTTTGCCGTTATTTGCAGATTTTTAGGTTGAATTAACGATTCTTTATACATTAGATCTATGAATTTTTGAGTGTCACGATACAGAGTGCCTGGCAGCGTAGCATATTGTCTTGAAATCGCAGAGAGCTAACATAAAGAATTCTGCGCAGACACCTTGACCGCGCCGCAGCAGCGGACGCAGACGGCTGCATTGTGTGCGTCGATTAATCGACTGTAACTGAATGGCTAATAAAGCGCCCTACACTTATTCTGTGGAATTGCGTACTGCAAGTTATTTGGCTAAATTTTATATGCGGATGAGTGTTTATCTGCTCAAGCTCTGCTGTGTTGTATCATTTTATGGAAGGAAAGTTTGTGATTGCTTGAGGAACGAAAATCTGAATTCCAAAAGAAGTAGAATTTGAAAATTCTTATTTCGTAAGATGATAACGCAACCAATTCCGAGAAATAAATATGTCTAAGCTATGTTTTGCTCGAACTTTGATGATAGGGTGCTATACATGCAACCCAGCAAAATTCGCTTTCCTTTCTGCTAACATCTTGTAATTGGTTCGCTTACGAAATTTGGAGTACAAAAACGTTAACAGTATAAAATTTCTTTAGTGAACGTATATTTGCCAAGCAGTTGTAATTGATCATATGATTAATTGTATGTGATTTTGACAGATGAAGGCACTAAAAATGACTCGAAAAACGAAGCGATCCATTTTGTAGACCTCCCATGACGAACTTTTTTGGAAGAAAAGCATTCATTGGTTTCTGTGCACCTCACTTATAAAAGAATCAACTGAAAAAGTGCTGTATACTTGAGATGTTTGCACATAAATGGTTACTTTGTACGCTCTTAAATTCTCTCGGTTCAATCAAAGACGCCGTCCACTTGTCCAAGGGACTACTCAATTAACTGCAAAAGTATCTACATCTAGATAATTTGATTTTCTCAAGAAAAATGTTTCGCCCATTTGATCCAAGCTTCTCGAGCTAAAGCCTCTTATTCTCTTCAATTTTTCTCGCGTTCTTGTTTACATCCATTTTTCTAGTCTTCTCTTTCTTTTGCAAATGTTCGCTACCATGTGTTATCACAACCTTAATGAGATGATTGAAAATCAAACATTACACAACCATAAAAATGCCACAAGGCTAAAAATGTTGAATTTTTGGTTCATCGCTCGTGGTCTCACCCATTCATCTCAATTCATGGCAAAACTAGCAACCAGTACTGTAGTGATTATTGTGCCAGAGTTCTTGGTTGCCATAGACTACAACCAGCTCTCCTTTCTGCCTAATTTCACTATTTGGTGAATAGCTCGAGAGGAATATTTTCTTCTTTATTACATTTTCTTGCGTCTCCCATCGTTCTTTTATTGAACGTGATCTTTTTTGTAGAAATACTTCTGCTAGATTTTTGCAGGTCGATGAACGGCGATGGCCAACAGCAGCCGGGACCATCGGGTACGGTGCAGTGGCCACAGCCGGCGCTGTCGGATATCCTGGTAGGTTTAGTTTTTATATGCTTATTTTTTACTTGAGTATTTTGAAGCTCCGCTTACTTTTTTTGAATACTTTGAAGCTTCAGATGTACGAGTTTTTGAAGTACCTGCTTGATGATGGTAGAATTTGCGAGAGAAATTCTGAAAAAGAGTTATTGCCAGGGCCCGGCGGGGATGGCGCTTTCACAAGGTGGATATCGTTTTTGGCCCGAAAAAGCAAAGGGGAAGTCGTTTTTTGGGGTCCGGGGCGGAGCCCCGGAAAAAAATTGGTAGTTCATGCTCGCTGCTTGTCTTAACATGTTATGTCCCTCAACAGGCGAACACTGGAGTTCGCGCGCGTGAAACCGCGCCGTCGCTAACTGCCGCACGCGCGACGTCGCTCAAACGATGCTGTTTGTAACGCATAAATGACGAGTTCTCAATGTATGCGTAACGATATGGCACCAAATTTTGTAAGCGAACGGAGAGAGGCTAATGGAAACAAAGTATGAAAAATCATGAAAAACTTATGTGAACGGAACGAGTAATAAGCATTTTTTCCGAAAATTTTGTAAAATTGGTAAATGAAGATGCGCATTCAATTGGCTCGTTTGCAACGCGCAGATGACGATATGCTACGAAACTTGGTACATACGTGGACACAAGCCTGTGAGAGATTAGTTAGGAGATTCATTGAAAAATTATGTGACTGAAGGTTGTAGCAAGGTTTTTTCTGAAAATTTCCCACTATCAAGAAAATGGAAAAATGGCTCGTTTGCAACGCAGAGGTGACGAAATTGCACGGCATTTGGTGTGTATATGCGCAGTAGGACCAAGTAACAAAGTATGAAAAATTATGAGAAACTTATGTGAATTTAAAAAATGGTAAGTGTTTTTCGAAATTAGGTGGCTCCCGCGCCACCTGAGAGCCACCTGGGGTGGCTCCCTGCTTTCCTTCACATAATTTCCCGGATTTCTTTACATAAATGTGGCTTAGGTCGAGAGTATTACTACATGTTCAAATCCGCATCCAAAACCACCAAGGCACCGCTTCGATACAGCCCCAAATAGGGTTCACAGCGTTATGGTCGGCCTCGGAAAGCGCGCTCCAATCGCAATCGGTGCACCTCGCACAGACGACGCGGAAACTTTGAGAAATTGACTTTTTGCTAGATTACTGATCGCTGATTGAAGCAATCTTCTCAGTCTTTAACCGATTGCTTCTTCGATAAGCCCTACAAGGGCTCAGAAGGGTCAGCGATCATATTTGATCGTAATGTTCTACGCAAAAAGTTGTTTTTGTAATCGTATTTTTTCAGTTTTCGCAATATGGTCAATTTTCCCGTACTTTCGCTCTTTTGGGTCCTTAGTAATAAGTCGTTAGTAAGTGTAATTTTTGGCCATCCTCTCAAACGATGACCCGGGCTGGACCAGGAAAGCCAGGTAGTAGTACTATAATAAGCTCTGAGGCCGTCCATCTTATTATTTGTGTATATCTGTTTGTCAGGAACTTACGGGGGCCAAAAATAGGGTCAAAGGGGAAGTCGTAAGAAATTTTGGCTTCAAAGGGGATATCGTTTTCAAAATTCTGAAATGCCACCTCCTGCCGGGCCCTGGTTATTGCGTAGAAATAAGCCAAGAAGTAAAGACACATAATGACAGCTAAGCTCGTTTTACTACCTTGTAGTAGATTAATAATTTTGCTAGTAATAATTTTGATTGCTAACATGATTTTGTCCTTGTTGTAGAGACTGTGGGGGAGGATTGAGGGGGACGGGGGAAGAATCAGGCAAGAACATCCGGGGTTGTAGCAGTGGTAAGCGTTTCCTATTCCTTGAGTGCATTTGCTTGATATAATTCGAAGTGAACGAATAAGATTGGTTAAATAGACATAACGTGCAACTTAATCAACTATTGAGTTGGGCAATTCTCGGAAACCAGTTACTGAATTCAAGGATTCGAAAAAGATCTTCTCTCGAAGCTGTTTACCATTGCCAAGAAGGCTTTTATTGAACTGGTCCTGTCAATCGAATTTTGAGCAGATTAGAACTGAATTACCCAGAAATTGTGATAGTTGCTTAGAGGGGAAGCGCAAGCTGGGGGACGAAATTTTATGAAGAGCAGAAGAATTTTGGTACTATCATTTTTTTTTCGTGAAATCAATTCTTCAAAATAAATACCCTCCAAAAATCTGAGTTTTGTAAAATCTTTTCAAACGCAAGTTTACGTGATTTTCTTGTGTTTTCAGACAGCGCTGCAGATGCAACTCACCCGTACCGCCGCCGAGAGCACAAGGGTATTGGGGCAGCCTACGCCCCCGGTGCTCTCCGGAACCTCACCCTTGGTCAACCCCCTTACTCCGCAAATGAACGCGGCAGCTGCACTTCCGAGTCCGACCCCTCTTCCGGTAGCTCCTGCACCCAATCCACTACTTCAGTCGTACCAGCAGGTAAGATCTTGAGTTATCAATTCTCTTCTCCTCGATCGAAAGCGTTCGCCTTATTCCAGATACTGAATCCAGCATTTTTGGAGCTACAGCGTCAACTGATCGCCCAACAGACGGCGCAGTTTCGGTTGCCACTTCTGCCAACGCAAATGACATCATCGATGTCATTACCGTCGCTGCGGCAGATTCCGCCAACACTGCCACACGTCTCCCCAATTCCAAGCTCTCCAGCTTCGTTACCTGCGAGGCCGGTTCCACGAAAACCAGCACCTGTGGTGGTAACACCAAACATCTCACCCACCACATCCACCCCAAGATCAGATGGTTCATTTGCGGTTCCACAAGATCCGGTGATGAGGAAACCCTCCATTCCACTAAAGTAAGAAATCCATCAAATAGAGGGTCCTAGTAAATGCCAAGTTTAGTCGCCCCAGTACATCTACGGACGAGAGGGATAAAGCTAATCAGCCAAAGTCACCAGAATTCGAGATGGGAAGACTTCCCGTCAAGAATTACGTCCCATCACATTTTATGAAAGGAACCATGATACAAATGGCCAGCGGAAAGTTGAAAAAAGTTAGGACTTTAAAGACACAAAAGCAGTTTGACTACCGTTTTGATAAGGTACTTTTCATAGGTGGAAGAGATGTCGTCGGACGATTTTCTCCTCGCTGCTCCATTAACTCGTGAATTTAACGTTGATGCGAGTGTTGTCGAAGGAATTGCTAGAGGTTCTACACTTGCGCGGGTCAAATTCGCAGTCGGACAGACCCGATACGAGGTAACTGCGTAAGATTAGACTAGATTAAGTGTAAAACAAATCAAAACATTAATACATTTGATCGATCAGAATCATATAACATAAAAGGCAACTCACAAACCTAACAGATTTCAGGCAGTCCTTGAGCCACAGCTGGAGCATCCATTCTTTGTCCTTGGCAAGGGCTGGTGTTCCTGTGATCCACATCGCACCGCCGAAACGTACGGACTCGAATGTCAGGAGCTCAAGGTACTTCACATGTTTCGCAAATTTTTGGTTTGCAACATTTTAGCCTAAATTAGCTGTAATCAAGAGTTAAATAAATAAGAGCATAGTTGAAAATAGTTAAATAAGAGCAAATAAGAGTTAATGCTGGATGGTTGACGCAGACATCGCACTCGCTCCTGCTGAGGCGGCTTGCTTTTTGACTCTTACAAGGGAAGTCACTTAACTTAGGTCGGCCTTTTGAAATGGGACACATATACTTAGAATCAGCTCGGAACGCTGATTCCAAATATGCTGTCCATAGCTGCGAAGCGCTCCTCTGAAGCGAGTTATAAGCTTTTTAGTATGTATACTTGACATATAATTGAATATGGAAAGAAGGCCTTTAGATAAAAATCTGCCTAAAAAAGTGGTGGGAAATCGAAATAACATCAAACTGAGTCATTTGGCTTTGATAAGGTGTTGTATGCATTTGAACTACTACCTAGATGACGATACCGTAGCATGCCTAAGTCGGTCAGCACGCAAACTTTGCTTAGGAAAAAGCTCATAACTCGCTTCAGAAGAACGCTTCGCAGCTAAGGACAGCATATTTGGAATCAGCGTTCCGAGCTGACTCTAAATATATGTGTCTCATTTCAAAAGGCCGACCTAAGTTAAGTGACTTCCCTTGTTAGAAGAGAATAGATTTGAAGACCTTTTTCTCAATATAGTTGATGATAAGCACTATTACCGCAATGCCCCCACACCTCGAATGATATAGCTCCAAACACCAATCGTACCGTGATCACTCAGCGGACCAATCAGCGTCCTCGCGTACGGTAGACGGCAGAAACTACGGTTAAAACTAGAGTTTAGGGGTGACTTATTTGGCCATGAGTAAGTTCCATGAATTGCCACTTGAGCAGTGAGTCAACCAGGAGTCTATGGCCTTCACATAAGAAGACCCCAGTTATTCAAATTAGCCTGAGACCGTTTTCGAATTAGAAAACATGGAGATAATGAGGGACACGTGCCGTTTGTTTGCGGCGGCATAAAAATAAATTTGAAAGTATTTGGAAATATTCATACTCCCACTATGAAAAATGATATTGTCAACGCACTCTATAAGGTAGTTCATCGGCCCACCTAGGGATAGAAAGAATTCTGATCAATTTATATCTTACCTGCATAATCTGTGTTTAGGTTGGAGACGTGTGTATCTCGCTGTCAAGGAAGAGCGATAGCGATGCAAAGCAGCTCGATGAGACCGTCACCCTAACCGAAGCTGCAGAGCTAAAAGAGAAGGAGGCTGCACAGGCTGCGATCAGAGAGGAGCTGAGCAAGGAAATGGTCAGTCCCATTGTCAAGATTTATTTCTAAAAAGTGGAAACTATTTTTTTCCTAGGATGAATCGAATGGCCGCAATTCGGCTCCGCCTACTCGCTACCATCCCTACTCGAAGAAGCTGCGGAAGGTGTCGGAGAGCTGAAACGAAGCCCCGGTGGCGGCGGTGATCCCTTTGTGCAGTATTCATCCCAGTTGTTTCGTTCGTTCTTCGTTCGTTTTCGTTCGCTTAATTCTTTTTGCCTTTGTATGTGTTTCTATATGCTAACCGGATTCGTGTCTTTGTAGTGATTCGCTAGTGATTCGATATAAGTGATTGTTGAGATTCTTCTAGGAACTGAGTTCTTCATTCATTCATTCTTCATTCATTTATATATGTATGCGTGTGTGTTTATTTTTTCGCAAACACTCGACGGGCTAGGTCTTCTCATTTCGCTAGAGCGATACTCCTTTTACTCTCTTGGAAACACGTGGTTCGTTCAGGTCAATTGTGGTAGTACCTTCATAGAGCTTTTCAGGTCAATGATTCGTTTTGTTGCTGTGTAAACTGCGCGCAGAATTTAGCCTTGTTGTTGTGGTCAGATTCTTTTGCTATTTTTTGTATAGAAGATCTCTTTGATAAGAGGTCGTTATACGCCTATCTTGATGTACAAATTAATTATTGTAGTGGGCTTGTATAGCGTATAAATATTACGGTCCATTACCATTCTGTTGTCAATTTCACATATCCAAATACGCTACGAAATCTGTTGAAAAGTTAGAAAAGCGGAAAACAATGGAGCAATGCTTCTTTTAAGGCCATCGTTTGCAAAAAGAACCAGTCATTTTTGCGCCAGTTCGTGCTTTTTCCCTTGCTTTGAAAAGTGAATTATAATGCTAAGCAGGGAGTGATCAGAACTTGATCAACCCATACCAAACATGCTAGCATCGGACTCGCCTTGAACGCTGATTACAAATATAACTTTATTGCCTGCCAAGCGACTATTTGAAAGCAGTTATGAGCGTTTAAATGTGCGACATGTCAAGTCTTCTGTGGCACATGTTCCACAAAATAGGTTTCAAACATTATTTAGGTTTTGGGGAACGTGCTTCTTTCTTATAATTAGAACAACCATGGCCACTGTTCCGACCATCAGGCTCTTTTCAAGGAATTATATTCATCAAGATTTGAGAAATTTCTCATATTTGAACGCTCAAAACGTTCATAACTCCTGCCAAATTGTCGCTTGGCAGATAAAAAACATATTTTTGAGATCAGCGTTCTAAGACGAATCCGATGATATATAGCTTGCTTGGAATGGCTGGTTTGAATTCTGACCACTTCCTGCTAAGCAATGGATCTGAAATGCAACTTCACAAAATAATCTGTTAGGCGCTCGCTGAGCGATTAAAAACATAAATTCCGAAGAAAAGTCAGTAGTGTGCCAGCATTCGCTGATAACGATGCTGCTCAACACCATGCTCGTAATCTTGAAGTCTTCTTGTGAAGGTGATCACTTTGTTCAACACCATACACGGCAAAGATTGATGCTGACATGCAACAGCATATGTTGCTAAATTCTATCAGCAGCAAATTTTGATGCTCCGTTGCTGCAAGATAGTCTTGGTAACAAAACCATGCACAGGAGATATCGATGTACCTGCATGGGTATAGTGTTTCTCGACCAAAATGCAGCAAGAATTGATGCTCGCCTGCAGCAGAGCAGTGTCGCGCAACGTCAAGCCATCTTTATCGTAAGTGTTTCTCGATACCATACGCCATAGATGCTGACGCTAGCTTCAGTAGCGTACAGGGGCTTTCAATCTGAGTGTCACGGTCGACGTGGCACAGGTCTTTGCGAGCCGCCTCGCATGGGCCTCTCACGTGGCACAATGCCGCATCCGCCAAGGCCTTTGCGTTATCGGGGGTGCGGTAGTGTACCACGTGAGAGACTCAAGCGAGGCGGCTCTCGAGGGGGTGAACCACGTCGACCGTGACACTCAGATTGAAAACCCTTGTAATGTCGCTTCCACGCCATCCGCAGCAAGCTTTTATGCTCAGCAGCATCGTGTTGCGCAATACCATTCGCAGTAAATTATCCGACCAGCTTAGCTGCGCAACACCATTCTTTAGGTATTGGTGTCCACCTTTATCGAAATAGTGTTTCTCAATACAATCCGCTAGAAATGTTGATGCACACTGCAGCAGCATAGTGTTGCGCAACACTATTCGCAACAGATATCAGCGTTCGCCTGCATTGACACAGCATTCCTCAAACCGTTCGCAGCATTTATTGATGTTCGCTTTCATCAAAATGGTGTTTCACAACACCATCCGCCACAAATGTTGATGCACAGCTGCAGCAGCATAGTGTTGCGCGACACCTTTCGCAACACATACGGCGTTTGCCCACATCGGCGTAATATTCCTCACCACCATTCGGAGCGCACATTGGTGTTCACTTTCATCGAAATGGTGTTTCAGAACACCACCAGCCACAAATGTTGATGCACAGCTGCAGCAGCATAGTGTTGCGCAACACCATTCGCAACAGAAAAGCGTTCGCCTGCAATGGCACAGCATTCCTCAAACCGTTCACAGCATTTATTGATGTTTGCTTCCATCAAAATGGTGTTTCACAACACCATCCGCCACAAATATTGATGCACACCTGTAGCAGCATAGTGTTGCGCAACACCTGCTGCATCACAGACGCTGCTACTCTACGCCGATACGGCGTTCGCCTGCATTGGCACAGCATTCCTCAAACCGTTCGCAGCATTTATTGATGTTCACTTTCATCGAAATGGTGTTTCAGAACACCACCAGCCACAAATGTTGATGCACAGCTGCAGCAGCATAGTGTTGCGCGACACCTTTCGCAACACATACGGCGTTTGCCCACATCGGCGTAATATTCCTCACCACCATTCGGAGCGCACATTGGTGTTCACTTTCATCGAAATGGTGTTTCAGAACACCACCAGCCACAAATGTTGATGCACAGCTGCAGCAGCATAGTGTTGCGCAACACCATTCGCAACAGAAAAGCGTTCGCCTGCAATGGCACAGCATTCCTCAAACCGTTCACAGCATTTATTGATGTTTGCTTCCATCAAAATGGTGTTTCACAACACCATCCGCCACAAATATTGATGCACACCTGTAGCAGCATAGTGCTGCGCAACACCATGCTGCATCACAGTGACGCCGCTACTCTACGCCGATACGGCGTTCGCCTGCAATTGGCGTAGAGTCCTCAGCATCATTTGGCGCACACACTGGTGTTCATCTTTATTAAAATAGCGTTTCTCAACACCATCCACCACAAATGTTGATGCTCAACTGCAGCACCGACATTTGTGCCGTTCTTCCACACCATCCTTAGCAGCGTCATTGTGTGTTGCGCAACACCATTTGTAGCAGATATTGGTGGTCACCTTCACTAGATTAGTGTTACTCAGCACCATCCGCCATAAACGTTGATGTCAGTAGCATCATCTTAGTTTGCGCAACACCATTCGCAACAGATATTGGCGTTCACCTGCGTCGGCATGACATTCCTCAGCACCATTCACAGCATTTATTAGCAGCGCCAATCCGTCATCAACTTACAGGGGCTTTCAGCCTGCGTGTCACGGTCGACGTGGTTCAACTCCTCGCGAACCGCCTCGCTTGGGTCTCTCACGTGGTAGAATACCGCATCCGCTAAGACCTTCGCGGCATTGGTGCGGTATTGAACCACATGAGAGACCCAAGCGAGGCTGTTGGCGAGGAACTGAACCACGTCGACCGTGACACTCAGACTGAAAGCCCCTGCATGTGTTGTGTCGACGAAAACAAACTTTTCAAGCAAATTCATACTTATGGAATGGAGCTACTAAACCCCTTTCTTTCAACCCATGCAGTCCACAAACTCAATCATCCAACGCCTAAGGCCCCGGGCAGACTTCACGCGATTTGATCGTCGCGACTGAATCGCGACGAGACAACTGTTACAACATCATTCCATGTCGATCAACTTGCATTCGGTTGTGATACTTTTCCAACCCGAAATTTTTGAATGTGAAATGAAAATGAGTGGAAATCTTGGCGATCAGGTCGCGACGATTAAGTCGGAAGTGTGACCGGGGCCTAAAAGAGCATGGTATGGTAGTTACCTGATATACTTTTCCAGGATAACTAAATATATCTAATTGTTAGAACTTGTTCAGTCATTGCGAGGTAAAGCAATAGAAAAAGCAAACAAGTTTAGATTAACATAAAACACCGCATCAGACCAATTTAAACTGCGTCAAACTGAAATTAAAATGCCAAGATTTGAAGGCGATCCTGATGAACGGCAACAGCAGCAGCGATTGGTTTATCCTTTGTAATCCTCCATATCATTTCATCCAATACGGTAGTCTTGCTGACCCTGACTTAGTCTCAAGATTATTCATACTTCAGACAAAAATTGATTATTGTAAATGAGTTTGATTGTTTATAATACAATGTGTACTACGATTGTAGGGATCACTAAGATGGAACAGGATTTCAAGGCTATTTCGAGGTTCACTCCTAGATTTGAATTGCACATTCGTCTTCTTCAATGACGCTCTGTCATCTATATATATATAAAACTCAAACACTGTACCGTGTTTGTTAGGATGTTTGTGGCTTATAGACTCCTTTGTATGTGAACCAAAGAGGCTGAATTTTGTTTCCCTATAAACAAGCTACGGCGCAAAAGATAGGCTACTTTTTTCGACAATTCGCTGGGTCCTTCTATCGATTTATTGATTTTGTTTACTACAATCTAGGAAAATGAAGGCTATACCATTCATTTCTCCAAGTGAGTAGTAAAGGGTGGTAGAGATCATTTACATTTTGCGGTGAGGAGCATGCGGCGTCATGAAGCGAGCCGGTCAAGAAAGAAGACTATTCACCACGGATACTACACGAGCGCTAAAACTGACATGGAGGTGAAGCAGGAGAGAACAGAAGATATGAACTGAAGAAAGTGGAGGACTGGTAAGTATACATCTTGGAGCGCACCTTATGCTGGGCCATTCTGGACTGTCGGCCCGGGCGGGACCGGGAACCGCAGCTAGTCTTCCATAGTACTCATCAAGCCCCTGCACCGTTTCACTTATCATTCGGTCCGTCATAAAGTTGAAGGATGGATAAAAATGCTATCAAAGGTAATGCCTTGATTTCAGAGATTTCGGTAGTAGCGAAGTTTGTAATAGTTTGCAAAGAAAAAACAATAAGGCTGCCTCAAAAAGACGGAAGTTTTAGAAGCTAGGAAGCAAATACTCTTAGTGACAGAAACGAGAGCATCATTAACAAGCGAAAGGTCGAATATTTACAAATTTATTTGAAATTCGCTTTTGCTAAAAAAAGCTTTTCAGCTTTTTCGTAGCCCAAAACTTGATTATAATTCACTTTTTTATTCAGTCTGTAGGAGCGGCAGAACAAGAAACGATCAAGAAACTTTACGGTTATCTTGATTCAACCCAGTTTTCTTTTTCAGCTGTCTAAAATAAATTCATGCCTCCTGCTTTTTCTCATTCCGTGGAAAGAGAGTTTGTAGCGGATAGATAATCGAGTTGCTTGGAGAAGGAGTGGTCGACGAGATCCCGGAAAAGATACCCGTTCTAAGGGGTGTCAAGGTGAGATATCCCTTTCATCCTTTTCTTTTACGATACGGCGTTGAGTGCACTTTCACTTTTAGCATGATGTTCAGCTAATCTCTCTATTGCGTATCATTTGCTAGTGAAAGTTAGCATCTTCACCTTCCGATTTGCTTATCAAACATCAATCTTCGTTATGGTTAGAAGACTTGGATAACGGACAGTTTGTTTCATAAACATCCAAGCACTTCAGTTTCAAAGAGGATGGTCTCAAAAATTTACAGAGAACTTTGCGTTTTGAGGTCTTCATATGCTCGTGCCCATGCTTTACAGCTGCAACTTTTAGAATATGGGGCTTTTCTAGGGAATCCTTACGTTTCTTATTCTACTGTGTTGTATTTTAACAGTTTTTCCTTTTTGTTTTCCTCCTTTTCTCAATTTCTAATCAGGAAAATTCGAAACAAAACGTTTACAAAAGTTCTCAAAGTGTTATAGAAAGTTCAGAACGCGTGCAACGTCACTTTAGCGTAAAGTAGCTCCCATGAGTTTTTCTCAATTTTTTCAACCAAAAACTTATAGAACATCCCTCCCCTTTTTTCATTTCTTTGCCCACTGTCCTTGGAAAGCATAGGGGAATTTCTAAGGTTTTTGGATTTCTTTCTTTTCATAGAAATCAGAATAATATTCGTAAAATTGTTTCAAACTAGCGCATGTTGAGCAATGCATGAGCTGATTCGTGAAATTCCGGCTTTTAGGAGGTTGACCAAGAAAATGCTAGATTAAACATTTGCCAATAAGAAGATTTTGAACACATCAAGTTCTAAAAATGTTTAGCAGCCTTCGAAAAAAAATACTATGATATGTTAAAGGAAAGGATTTCAGTTCTTGTACGTCAAGTTAAAGGGATACCAAAAACGAAACTAAACATTCCATCCACAAAAGTGAAAATTGCGCTCGCTTTGATAAACTTGATTGGATAAACACAACGGTCAATTAGCTCCCGGTTCTCTTGATCTGTCCACTCTTGGGTAGTCTACTTCAATTCTAACATTCATTCGATGATGGATCGCGCTACGCACTCAAAGTTTGCAGCCATTACCTTTCCGTTATTGAGTTCTCCGTGGAATATAGCGAGTTCAGTGATGTCAAGTCTCATAATGTCGCCATCGTTGTCTCTTCTAAAAAGCGATTTCGCCCTTGAAAAACCAAAAAGAGAATTTGATTATTTAGAACCATGAGGCTGCCGTTACTGGCGTTTCTACCTTTAATCGCTGCAGAATCATTCGTTTACCTACATCCAGTGAATCCCAATCTACATCCTAGGGATATGTATCCCATTCAAAGGAGCCTCAGGTTAGTTAGTCGATTTAGATGTCAGTATCCAATAATAAGATGCTATAATCAGAGGGTTCAACAAAGTCCGAGATCTACCTCAGTCGGGAATTGTCTACCTCCATAGGATAAAACCACTTTCGAATGAGTTTAAAGGTGAGCACTAAAATAAATTTTGGAAACTTCAAGGTTTTGTATTCTTTGCAAGCCCGATGGACATGCCACAAAGAAAGTTCCAGCATTGCAATTGGTTCTTTCAGATTTATTTAGTTAGAAGTTAGAACGCTAGATTTTTTCGCTGCTCTGGCCTAGCGGGGATTGATTCTGGACCCATTCAGATTAATGCAAGTTGCATATGGGGAAGCCATCTCAACGAATGTTGTATTCGGTATTTGCAGAAATTTTTCGTGCTGTGTCCTTCAAAAATTGTAAATCTCTTCTCTCTTCTACAACACTAATAGTATTGAACTGCTGCTAGCAACTCGGATCCACTTCTGTCATGAATTCGATATAAAAATAATACAGTATAACAAGACCTTTACAATTTTTCTTCCCGTCAAAAATAAACAACAGAGAAACTCGAAAGAGTGCTTTCTTCCTCTTCCTCGTTAGGCACGGCATGGTGCTCGAGAAATTGGTGCACCACTTTTTTCATAACTTTTGAAATGGTAATTGTGACTGTTTTGTTTACGAAATTACCAATCCCATTTACCAAACTACCAATAAAACACAATAAATCACCAATTTTGAAAATTTCGTGAGAGATAGATACAGACCGTTGTCTTAAAGGCACCTTACACCCAAAGTTAAGGGTTGTTGAGCTTTTGGCAGCCCATAATAGTAGGGCCCCATATCAATCCAATGCCCAAGTCGCGGCACAAAATGCCGCTTCGGAAGCGAGAAAATCTCTTTGGAATAGCGAAGATGCACGAGGACCCCCATCCATGCCCGCCCATTAGTGCGCGCCCATCCAATCACCGCTCCGGAAAGCCGCCTTGGGTCCTGAACTGGGATTGTCGGGGTTTTCGAGATTCTCGACTTCATATTCGGAATCAGGAACATACAGTATAACAAGAAGGCCCTGGAACGACAAAAACGTGGAAGTCGAAAATCTGGGTGGACGGTGCCTATAAGCGTTGTACTTTGATGAATATTCAAAAATTTCAAGCTCACGTGTTGTCACGGTCCAAATAGAAAAGTAATCTTCAGGAACAGCTGTTGCTAGAGCGGACAACACTTTCGTAAGTCAGGCAGCTCCTGCACCATTGAGAGAGCTCGGAGCAGAACTAAAGGTGAGGCATCATTTGCATAGACTGTCTGGTAGATATTACATGGATGTTGAAAATTACAATTTCCGGCATCAGCAAAAGAATTTCAGAGTGGCGATGCAACGATAAGCCTTCCAAGCACGGAAAGCTTTACAACCAAACAATCACCTCCATTACTTGTGCCAGCAAGCACGATTGGCGCAGAAACTGTTGGCGATTCCGCATCTGTGGAACGAGTACCTACAACAGAGTCACAAGAAGCTACTACCCAAGCCATCACAACTACGAGTGAAGAAATGATAGAAATGCTGCCGACAATGCCACCTATTCAACGCACAACAACGGAGGAGACGGAAATGCCTACACAAAGGCCGGAGAAAAATATGCTGGTGAGAACTTTTTGCTAGCTTATGATATCGCCCTTGTTTTCTGGGAAAAAATATGACAGATTTTATGTCATTGCAGTCAGTGTGAAAATCTTTTCGATTACGACGATACGCTCAAATTTGTAACGCAGTTTTTTTTTGCCTCCGTCTACTACGCTAACTGTAGGGCACGGTTAAGATATTGTAATTGGGGTCACATCGAAACAAACTTCATTCCTTGTTCACCAAATGCTGACCGAGTTCAGTAAATTAGCAACTAACAAATTCTTTTTTCTTCTCCAGAAAATTGCCATTTCCAAGAAGAAAAACATAGAACCGAAAGAGTATGACCTATCAAGGCAAGCCGAAGTGGATCTAGAACGTCTCATTGCGGAATTGAAGGAGCAAGAAGCGGTAGATGTTCCAAATTAGAATTCCGGTTGTTATCAAAACTCTCTAGGTTGATCTCATCGAAGAACATCCAGCTGCAGCTACTATTGATCTACCAAGGGTAAGGCAAAATTGAATACTTTTATATTCCCCATTTGTCGATATAAAATTTTGTAACCCAGGCGGTCATAAGCGGTCGGCGAACTCGTCCAGGAAACAACAATGCAAGGCTTGTGCCACTGAGCGGAACTGCCAGGCTTCATGTAGGTCAGTGACGCACAATTCATTTTCTTATCATAATAACCACTTCCGATGTGAAGTCTAAATTATCTATTGTATTTGTACCACTTCAAAATCTGTGGATGAGTTTCCCTACTCCCCCCATAAACAACTAAGCAGGGGTGAAAAACGAGCTTGCACTGCAATTTATTCTGATGAAAGCTGCACTTTCACTCTTGAGTCAAAACAAGTAATCTGTAACTTTAGAAAGATATATGAATTCTATAAGGACGCGTCCATTATCAGCATCGATAAGCATGAGAACTATAGTGGAACTTTAACTTAGTACAGAATGCAAATAGTGCTATGGAAGTCAGTACAGTAGTCCCACAGTGATTGTAGGACGCCTACGCTCAAATTTGCAAATTTCATCTACTTTTTCTCAATCACAAGCATTTTTGAGGCTAAAAATTCGCATAGTGAATTAGAACACCAGAGACAGTTTTTCTTGTGTCTTCTTTACGTACCTTGGATTCGAGATTTTCAATTTGTATTCAAATTTTATAAAAAGCAGGCAAACAACTTTTTCCTCCTTTCTGCTACCAAATTTATTTGGGAGGTATTTATTACAATCGTACGGAAGCAGCCTTCCCACTTCCATTTTTTGAATGAAAGCATGGCGATGTGTAGTGAATTCCTCAGTTTGCGTTAGCTTCCTGAGCATACTTTGACAAGAAAAATGGTGCAGTATAATTGCAATTATTTACGAAAAAGGGAAATTCAAACTTTGTGAATAGCTAATTACAGGTGAATTTCACCGAAAACGGAGCGATGCAAAACTGGTCCAGTTAAAAAAGAGAAAGTCATTCGGTAGAGTCGGCGCCACCGCCACGGCACAAAGAGGACCCGACTTTGATCCTTGGGAACGGGAACGAATGGGTCAAGGAAGAACAGCTTAAAGCATATGTACACGTATTTATTAATGCAACAAACAAATATTATGGCTAATTACAACGATATCACACATATTCTTTGCCATTTCCACCTTTTTGACTGTTTGATGTGATATAGTACTGATCGTTTGTCATCTGTTGATCGTACTTTGTACGGCCACAAAATACTCTATAATAACACTTTGTTAGGTGATGATCTTCTCGAAAGTGCAATTTCTTTGTTTGTTGAGAAATTTCTACAAGTTTCATTTCACAGAATGAAATATTTTTTGTATGAACTGACCTTTTTATGAGAATCCTGAATTCCCGCATTCGAAGGTAACATAGTGGTTGAAGTAATGAATGAAGTGTTATACAAAGATAGCAAATATACTTGAGATATAGGAGATCCCGACGACGAAACCCATTTGAGTTTCTAAAAGTAATTCTTGTTTGATTGAAGCATATTTATTGATCGCAAAAAAGTTTTCCCAGTTCCCAGATTACGTTTTTTATTTTTTTTTCAAAAACTCAGTTTTTCAAAATACTGTAGCTGTTAGCCCTTCCACCTCCTCATAAACATAAAGGCTTTGCACGTTTGTTGCCAGAATTATTCCACCATTATATAAACAGGAAGTAATTTTATAAAACGCGTCACAAGTTACTGTGAAAGCGTTTCATGGTTAATTTTTATATTTCCGGCCACAGGTGACAAATAATCCAAATTTAGCAGATAAATTGCAGTCAGAATCGCGTGCTAGTACTGAAAGAAGCTGATTCGATTGGAGATTTCATCAAGCGTGAATAAGAGCAAAAAAAGTTTAAGTTCTTGCCTGTCAGTGGAATTTTTGTTATAGAGAACAAGTAAGGAGAGAAAATTCATGATAGATCTTTAATAGTTGCTTAGCAAAATTCGGTACTATTTTTTTTGAAATTCCTAGTGGCTATTTAGAGAAGAGAATTTAGAAGAGTTTTCTCAAAGTCCTTATCTTCAAAGCTGTATTATTTATTTGTAGGATCTATGGAAAAAATGGTGCCAATTTCCAAATTTTACTTTTTATGTTTTTTGTACCGGGCATGTATTGACTTGTCATTTCTCAAGATTTCCTATAGTTTAAAACAAATCTTTCAACAAACAATCAAATCTTGCAAATTTACAAAACCCTTTGAAATTAATATTCTGCGCTTAAAAACAGTGATTTTGTTTTGATTCCTCAAACTCCTTTTGACACAATCGATCTTCGCTTTTTGCAGATCAAAAAAAAATTCAAAGGCTCACTGAGAGATGTTTACGAGCTGCAACACTTGTAAGGTAGCATATACCGTCAGATAGACACAGTAGACACCGATTACTGTACCGATGACTACCACGTATTTATGCCTTTTGAGCACATGTTTATTATCCAAGCGACGCTCACCTAAAATACTCGATTTTCCAGAAAATAATTCTTTCCATAAGATTTTTCTTACCTTCCCCTGAGCTTCGAAGTTTGAGATGTTCTAACTCAGCGGTTTGTTTCAATTCTGCATCTACAACGCCTGACACTACTCTGTAATTGGTTTTCATTAATGATTACAGTCAGTGGGGGTACTGTACTCACCGGAGAAGTATACTGTACGAATAGGCAGTTATTGCGAGACATACGACGCAAAATACAACAATACCCAAGTAGTATACGAACTGAGCCGAGCTTGACGACTCTAGGCGATGGATGCACGATGCTGTGGAATTTGCTGAAAAGTAGAAGTCAGAAAGATGAAAATTAGGGTTTACTAGAATACTTATTCTAGGAATAGTATGATAATGCCTAGGCCAAGTCCAGAGTTGCCTGTGCCGTCCCCGCACGCACTAGCACCGCGCTGGCACAGCTTTGACACAGCGCCGGCATCCGGGCAGCCCTACACACTCTACACACTGCCCTAATTTTAGACAAAATCCCCACTCCGTCACGTTACTAAAACTTCTCGGATTTCGTATCTTTCAAATGCCCAAATCTTATTTTTGCTGCCGAAAACGCTGAGAATGAACCGTATGTTCTGTTTAGGTTTTCCTCTACCATCCTATTTTTTCAGAGCACTTCATTTCTTATAGATTTGAACTCTAAACCAAAATGCGAACATGAATTGTTTGTTATAGCGATTTTTTCTGCAACACTAACAATACGTATAGATCTTACCGCTGATTGTGCATTCATCATCAATCCAAAGGCTTCGATTTTGAAGGCCGGCGAGCATATTAATGAAGGTCATGCTCGACGAGAAGATCCAAATACATATGATCAAGAAGACCACTCGTTTTCTAAACAAAAAATCTTCATCTTGCAAAAAAAGTTGATGCTGCAACTATTCAGATGTCACTAAGCCCTGTCGTTTTTCGAAGATTTTTTCTGAGTTGGCTTTACTTCGTTCTGTTCTTTCTTCTCACGAAAGTTGGCATTTCACAGAACGAGCATTGAAAAGTCAAAAATAACTTCCTCGCTGTGAAGAACGTTGAAAGCTAGAAGCCTTTTTCTTACCTGGTCACCAAAGTCGTATATCGTAGCGGATAACAAATGAAGATGTACTCGTTCATCGTTATACTCAACAAATTGAGGATCGTCGCGAGATTTGTGAACCTGCAACGACATTTGTCTCATAGACGAGAACACCTTGGTTTTAGCCAATCACAAGCTTACCGTAGTAAGAGACCACTGTATTGGTCGATCCGAATAGATAATAATGACTCGTCAGAGTTCAGATCTGATTTCAATAGCTTTATGGCAAATAATATGGAGGAGATTCCTGAAGATGGAATTAAAAAAAACCTCTACAAATACGAAGAAAAGCGAAAATTTAGTACGCTCTAACTAAAATTTAAGGTTTTTTTCATTTTTCAAAACAGCTAATTTGTGATAGTATCTGGAACTACCGCTTCAAACGTACCTTTTATAGTATCAATGATGGTAAAATCAAGTATCATGATATAGAAAGCATGAGAAAATGCTTTCCGTCTTCTTGCCAGGAGCGAATACAGGAACAGAGAATTTAGGGAGATTGCAAAGGTACCGAGAATCACGTATGAAACTCCAAAGCCCAGTGCGGTGCTTTCCCAGTCCCATGCTGAAAAAAATGTGATTATTTGCTTGTATAAGTGATTAGTTTTGTAAGTATTTTCTCATCCCTATGATAAATATTTGAGAAGTTTGATTTATTTACATTATCTCAGCATTGTGTGCATGTCTTACGATGGTGAAAAATTTGCATTAGGTTAGCCGAGTTAAATTATGAAAGAAGTTTAAAAACCTCTGTTCCTCTAAAAATTTTATCTGAGTGCTTTTCATTTCTTTTCCCCATAAATTACCTTGCCTTACAATGGCTACTCTTCTCTAAAATTGTGCGGAGTGACTATGCGTAAACAATTATCAGTGCATATATGTAGTTCTAAAAAGGTTAGACAGCAAGAAGTGTTGCTTTCCGATATTGACAGAATTGCAGCAAAAGTCTAATATGACCGCTACAAAGAAAGTTACGATGTGAACAAATATGGAAATTGTGAATGCTTGAGATTTTTGTGCTGCAAACGAAGGCGAAGTTTTTAGGCTTTGGGATTTGGGGATGTGGTAGTAAGAATTGTGACTGATGGTATAATAAATGATAATTCCGTTTCATTCACTTGATATTTTTTCCGTACTTGAAAGAATGATCACCAAAACTGCAGATTCTGAGAAAGTATCTGTATATGTTTATAAGCATCTTGAAAACAACTTCTGACGATGGCGTAAGTACATAGAAGAAACTAATTTCTCTCATGGAGGTTTTGAAACACAATGACCCCGAAGTTTATCATTACCTGTACACAAACTTCAAAAACTGCCCTCAAGGACTCCATACTTTTTGCGATTCTTCAATTTTACCGATTTTGTTTCCTCGTTTATTTTAACTTGCATATTTCTTACTATGCCTGCTTATTCGTCTAATCAGTCATAGCTGTTTACTTTCAAAGCAAAATTTGTTAAGACTTGCCGAAGAGTTTATAACTGGATAAGCTGTATTTAACAGATTAGATTTACTTGAATCTTATAAACGCTCCTCATGTCTGATTCCTTTTTCCCTTATCTCAAAATGGCAGATGCAAAATGAATCAGAGACTTTTATAATCAGATTGGATTATCCTCCGAGAGCAAAGGCGAACAAAACAATAGAAGGAAGTTGATTTTGAATTTTTTTTCAAACAGCAAACACCTTTCTAGTGGATAGGTCGTCTTTTGGAGGATTGTGAAGTTCTCTAATGGCTCTATTAGATTTTTTCAAACAAGATAACCTAGCATTTTTCTCCATTGTTCAGTAAAGAGGTTCCCTCCACTGCTTCCTCGCTTCCTGACTAAACTTCCAAAATTATTCAAAACCTGTTACGCTCAACTTTTTTCGAGCTCTATTATTCGTTGCTAAGAAGGCACTGCCTTGGCAATCAAAGCATTCTTTTGCCGAAACTAGACAGAGCTAGACAAATGTCAAGAACCTCTCCACGTCTTAGATTTGAACTAAGAGAACACTTCATCAAGATCACTTTTTAAAAAAACAGACAGGAAAATGCCCAAAGGACTGGTTTGGAAGAAGAAAAATTGTTCTTGCAGAAACAAGAATATTAAGATTCCTTGCTCAATTTTCTCAGAATTGCTTTTTGATTAATAGGAAAGATACCCAGACTAATTTTGGGATAAACAGAACCCAAGAACTTCCTGCTTAATAGTTATTTTCCCTTCCTTTCGTAACTCACCAAAATGCCAGATGCCAAAAAAATTACCAGTATTAATAAATCATTTACCCCCTTATCCCCTTCATCGATGGCATTTATAGAGTAGGTGACTGCTGAGTTTTATAGGATAGTGTGATTGATAGATAGCCTTCTATCCCACGGAGTATACGATTAAGCTAGAGAATGACGGAAAAATGCAGAAAGGCCGGGAGATTTATGAAGTTCTTCGTTGATGCAGAACTTTGGATTTTGAGCAAAACTGAAATCGGGTGTGGTAAATTTTTCGTGGGAACTATATCAAACTGGTGAACTTCTGTCCATGTCTCCCCCCCCCTTCCCCTTCATGTAGCAAACACTCTAGGTGATGGATTACCACGATCGAATGGACGCGAACATTTTCCGGCTACCTAATTTTGGCCCTCGCGGAGCCAAAATTAGATTCTCGTCTGCTCCGCAATGACATCAAATTCTTCATTAGATTCATTTATTCTGGTCATCGATCATGAGTATTTCGGGAAATGATGTAGGAAGACATGAATAGGTAAAAGTGGTATGGATAGGTTAGAATGGGCTCTTTCCAAGATTATACTAGTAGGGCGGAAAACTGCAGATTTTACAGATTTAAACTTAGTGTTAACGAGTCGAAAAAATTACGTGCTTGATTTTTTATTCTTTCAGTCGCTGATCAAACACGGAAAAGTTTTCATGCACATCTAAAGACTGAATCTGTGGCAATAATCGTAAATTTTTCATAAAACCTTAAAACTAAAACAATTGTTATTTTGGAGATATAATTCAGCGGCATTTTTTGAAATATTCAAAAAAAATTTTGCACTCAAACTGAAACTGTTCTTTTCGACGACTTCAAGTCTGAGTTCAACCAATCTTCGCTAAAAGCTAATTATGCAATTTAAAATTCTTGCCACATTTTAAAACTACTCATTCATTTCGAGACTTCATAATATTTTAAGATCTTATAGGAAATTATTGATTCCATATTCCATTTCCATAAGAAGAAAACTCACTATGACTGTCCGAAACCTCTGCGCGACCTGCGCGCAACCATCTGGCAAAATCTTCCGCAGTAAAATTTGATGCATCCATGTAATGGCCTTTCTGCTCAGTTTTCTGAAAAATTGGCAGTAGTTCAAGGTATGAAAACGATCGATAATTGGATACAAAAGCGCAGTTAATTGTGTGAGAACAGTAGTCAGCAGTAAGTGCAGGATTATTCAACGTAAAGAAAAGTAGTTATGATAGTAGTATAGTCAGCGGAAGAAAGGACAGAGAATGAACATTATGTATTGGTACAAACCTTGATAGAAATTCGGCAAAAATGGAGTAATTCCTATCAAAACGGACTGATCTGTAAATAGTTATAGTAGGCACTAAGTTCCCCCATAAAACCTATGGTAATGACCTTTCCGAAAAGTTTTGTTTATTCAGATGCTCTTCAAAGCGTGTTTGGAGATAAGCTGTTGTTGCGCTATTGATTAGTGATAAGAAAACCATTCTCAATCAGCTTTTTACGAGTTTTTTCGGTAAACTTGATTACTAAAAAAGTAAAAGCCAAGCAGCCTTGATCTTGTTAATTTTGTGGATTACGACAAGATAGCAATCGAAGCAAAAAATGTTTCTTCGCATCAAATTTATTCATCATAGAGAGCAGATTAACTGAATTAAAATAGCTCCTTTGTGGCAAAGCATGTGGTTTAGATTATAAGAAAATTTCTGCTTTTGTAGTTTGAAGCCCTATTTGCAAACTTGTCAGGAAAAACTGCACAGCAATTTATCCACTTCAGAGATTTGTAGCTTCCGGTCCTTGCTCAAGTGTACTTAAACATAAAAAAGAGTATGGATCAAGCTATTTCTATCCAAAAGAAATTTTCCACACGTAGGAAAGTGCAGTAGAAGACAAAAACGGAGAAAAAAAGTTTTTTCTGATTGAGTATATTTTCGCGCAGTGCAGAAATGTAAATTGTGATTTCTCTTGCAGATTTCTTCTCAAGACTAAAAGCATTCAATGCATCGGCCCAAAAAACCTTTTAAAGGCTGAAAGCTTAGACGATGCTCACAGTTATATCAAATTTAGCTAGGCTATATGTGCATCAAACGTTTGGTTTTGGATAGATGATGTCATTCGTAGTCGAAGAGGTAATTTTACTGTCTAGATACTGCCCAAACCAAAAGCTGCCAGAGAAATTTTCTGCAAAGCGTGGTAAGGAAAAGCTAAAAGGCCGGTTTTGACCAGCATTAAATTTGGTGAAATTGCAGTTATTGGAAAGCGGAATTAAGCAAGAAGTTCGAAAAGGTAAATGTGAGATGTAGTGAAAGTCACGAAATGGAGAAATGCAGTTTCCCACCGAGATTGATCCATTCGCCGTTTTGCAAGATATGGAATATGTCGTGCGGTCACGCATTTTTGCCGTCGAGGCCTTGGGAAAATTTAGCAACGCATGGTGGATTATTCTGGCGAAGCCGATGGAAAAAGGAAAAGTTTGGAATGCAAAGGAGTTATTTTGCAAGGAGGGGAAAGATGATGTTAAACGAGCAAAGACCATGGGAAATAATGAAAAAGAACGGTGACTTTTTCTTGAATAGAAAAGCAACAGTTGTGGGAGGCGGGAGAGAGGCGAGGGGGGGGGTAAAACCAAGAAAAATCAGAAATTCTCAAGAAAAATTGAGCTAAGTCCACCTGGACCATCTCGACTTGGCTAAGGCGCCATAGACGCCTGCGCCCCGCCCCTTCGCCCCAGCACTTAGCTGATTATACTGAGTCATCCTGTCAACAATATAGCTCTCTATTTTTAGCCAAAATTGTGTTTATTGCCAAAAACGTATAATTTTCTGTAACGGAATGAATGACAATCAAATGTGCTCCACATAGCATGCAATTTTTGAGATTCAAATGCCAAGCTGGAGACAGTAAATAGTAGTTTAGCGACGTAATTATATGCTACTGTCTTGTGATTAGGCTATTTCCCCGCAAATTTGTGAGTAAATAAATTGTTAGTAGTCGAGGGAATTGAGAGCGAAGTTAATTTTAGCATATGGAGACTAAAAGTCTTGGAGAAACCAGAATTCAGAGTGTAAACTCATATTAAGCTTTATAAATTTTTCATACTTCAAAAGGAGTAAAAAAAAGAGTTGGTATCGTTGTCAGTTTTCATGTTTTTCTTATCAACTATAAACTAGTATTCCTTTCCTTCGAGACCTTTATATTCAAATAGAAAAAATTAGAGTTAGGACTTTTTTCATAGCATTACTTTATAAGCTAAACTAGCTGGCTTACCCGGCTCCGCCGTATCCGGACCAAACTTAACACACATACACTTCGGGCCCCGGCGGGTGTCACAGTCCACTTTTCGTTATCGATCGATGTCGATTTTACCGATTTTTATCGATTTTTTTGCAGAGTTCACCTACAGGGCTAGGAGTTGGCACAGGGGGGAAGTGAGCATGGGGATTCCGAATACAATATTAGTTTTCAGAATTATCGATTACGTTTATTGATTTTATCGATTTTTTGTAAATTTTGACATGCGAGGCTGGGATTTTGCACAGGGGAGTAATCGAGCATGCTGATTACGAACACAATATTAGTTTTCAGGATCGTCCATTACTTTTATCGATTTTATCGATTTTTTTGTAAAGTTTGACCTGCGGGGCTGGGAGTTTGCACAGGGGGGGGGGGTAATCGAGCATGCAAATTACGAATACAATATTAGTTTTCAAGATCGTCCATTACTTTTATCGATTTTATCGATTTTTTGAAAATTTGAGCTAGGGGGCTGGAATTTGGCACAGGGGTGTAATCGAGCATGCTGATCACCCCCCTTGGGAATGATCAGCATGCTCGATTACCCCCCTGTGCCAACTCCCAGCCCCCTAGCTCAAACTTTGCAAAAAAATCGATAAAATCGATAAAAGTAATCGATAATCCCGAAAACCAATATTGTATTCGGAATCCCCATGCTCGATTACCCCCCTGTGCGAACTCCCAGCCCCGTAGCTCAAACTTTGCAAAAAATCGATAAAATCGATAAAAGTAATCGATAATCCTGAAAACCAATATTGTATTCGGAATCTCCATGCTCGATTACCCCCCTGTGCCAACTCCCAGCCCCGCAGCTCAAACTTTGCAAAAAAATCGATAAAATCGATAAAAGTAATCGATAATCATGAAAACCAATATTGTATTCGGAATCCCCATGCTCGATTACCCCCCTGTGCCAACTCCCAGCCCCGTAGGTGAACTCAGCAAAAAAATCGATAAAAATCGATAAAATCGATATCGATCGATGACGAAAAGTAGCCTATGACACCCGCCGGGGCCCGTAGCGTATGTGTGCCAAGTTTGGTCCGGATCGGTTCAGAAATGGAATTTTCTATTCGGAACATACGTACACACATACAGACAGACAGACATACAGACAAACAGACATTCAGCTTTATATATAAGATAATATCCATGTTTTGCTTCCTAGAGACGTTTACACAAATAAATAGAGTCTGTTTTTTCTAGAAACCGCTTGCCTAGCAATATATGAAAAAATTTATATGAAAAAGAAATATTATGACATCAACGTTAAGAGTTCTAACGTCAGCTCTAATGATTTTTTCATAGACTCTACATTTATCAATAACTAGTACGGAGTAAGGCAAATTTTTAAGAAACGAAAAATTTCCATAAAATCATATTGAGAAAGCTTCCAAAAACCAACATTAGGTCTTACTGAGTACCACCCTCAAGGAGATAAATGGTCCAACTCTCTGGGGTAAGATGCACTTGTTTGATTCATTTCACTACTATTTCATGGATAAATTCTTGATGCGGAATGATTATAGATAGTCCATGGGGATATGATTCAGACGATCCTGATCCTATAGATTCCATATTTCAATGGAAAGGAGGTACAATACTTTAAAATATCACCGTTTTTGAGCCTTTCGTAGGGAAATTTACCTAAAAGTTTTGGTATAAGAAATTTTTGCCCTTGCTAGCCACAAATACTACAAAAACTTGTACTTTAAAAATGAAACAGGAAAAACTAAGAAGAATAGTTCACTCACTTATACATTTTCTATTTACTGCCCAAGCAGGTAAAAAACATGAGAAGTTTATTTTTCAAGGAAAGACGATTGTCCCAGACAAATTAGGTGGTTTACATTCATGGCAGTTGGGCTGTGTGAAAGAGAAAATAATAGTTGGTAAACATGAACGACGATAATGCCAGGACTAATAACGACACTATTTGAATTATCAATTGTTATTACAGTCCTATTCAAACCCAATAAAAGTCGTTTACCGAAATTAATGAGAGAATTAGTCGGCTTGTTTACGAAAAATTAGTTGATCTTGACACGTGAAAATGTATTGACTACAAGGATGAGATAGGAAAAAATAAAGAAAACATGTGACTAGAAACATTCCCTAAAAAATTGAGGCACCAAAGTTTCCACAAACCCACAAATCTATCTTCTAAATTTTGCTTCAATTATTGTCCAACAACGGCGAAAATTTTGACATTTAGTTTGTTATAGAGAATAGTTTGTTGAGCTGTTGTTCAAAGTGCAATTACACAGTAATTTCATGAAGCTGAATATTACCTACGAATCTGCATTTGTAGCTAAGTATCACTCACCACACTTGTCCAAAAATCGTTTCACAATTTTATGCACGCAATCAAAGGCTATTTACTCGTAAAATCTATTTATATGGATAGTTTTGTTTTATTCATGTAGTTTTGGCTGCGAAGCGGAATTTCATAGTTTTAAAAACCTCTCTCGATCTGTCATCCTCTGAGTGATTCCGGAACTCTATGTTCTTTTATAAAAAGACTTGACCAAAGAAAAGACATAGCTTACGAATGCAACAGAGCTGCTTAACTTGCGCATCTTACATCAGCAACTATTGACCAGAGGTAAGGTATGCAGGGTAAGAAAAGGAAAGGGAAAAATCTTTTTGTTGAGAGTGAGATTTAGCTTGCAGCTGGGTAGAAATGATGCTTTTGTTAAAAATGAGTGATCCACCAGAAAAAGACATATTGTCATCTTTTCGAGGTAAAAGATTCTCTTTATAACAATTTCTAAAATTGTTAAAGGCATAAAAATACTCTGAAAAATAG